GCAATACAACGACAATCCATAGATCAAAACCTACGCAAACTTGCAGAAACAGCAGGCTTTTCAGACCTGTACGCACAAGACTATAGCCGATATTTTAAAGATATGAAAGATTAAATTTACTTAAACGGCGAAAAATACAGACCACAAGATATATCACCCATGAATATTTTTAGTTTTGTAAATTTGAAAAACGAACTTCTTGCCTTTCTAGGATGGCCCTACTACTTCTCAGAAAGAATGACTATATTATACGCAATGTTCAACTTTCTTGGATTTCTTTTCTCTCTCCTAAAAGAAATCTACAATACATGCGCAATACATACACAAGTAAACTAACAAGCAACCCTAGCACGCATACTTTTCGCAGGATTTTTTGGAATCTTTTCAGCATCAATCAATAAAATTCTTTTGGACGCTCAAATAAAAGAATACAATACCAAACTATCAACAACACGAAACACCACACCTATGACGAATCACGAAACGATAAAAATACAACGCCCACGGCACCACGATTGCAAAACCTTAACCATAACCAGCACCTATCTTTGTTACCATGAAACATTAGAAACATTGCCCTAACAGACCTCATAACTTCGAGATCTAAATATAAACAAAGCCCAATCCAACATAAAATAACCCAACAACCCAACATAGACGACACATACGAACAAGTTATAGAACAACCACATACCACAAATTTTCGTTCTCAGAACAACCATCTTTTTAGCCCACGATAAGCCGCCACGTTGGATCCCTCCATTCAACAAATTCCCCCGCAGCAAACCTTCAGAACCACTTCCCAAATATCCAAATTTTTGCTCTCCCCCACCTCAATCACGTCATCATAACACTCCAACCAGCATGGAATCAGACACTTGTTCCAACACACAGTATATATCACTATTTACCAATTCGATAACTCCGATATCGAAACACCCGACGAATTTGCTAACTCAATATCCAGTCCACCTACATTTTCTCAACCTTTCTTTCAACCTAAACATTCCCAAGTCAAAATTGAACCCCTTTCCCCTCCCTTTCTCATTTCATATGTTACACCCATATAGTCCCCTCTAACCAGCAAATCATCCGATAACAATGACCAAGATCACACACAAATATCACAGGAACTTGATGAGTTCATAACACTACAACAGCAATTACAACAACCTCAAACACTAACTATTCACCAACTCTCATGATCTTTAACATCATCCAACCCATGGCACCCAATCCCCTCTTCAACTTACGCACTCTCCCAAAACCCCACTTCCCCATGAACCCCATCCTCTAGTACCAACGCGCTTACCGAATCTTCAAAACAAAGTTTCCAAACACTCCATTCCCATCTCTCCCAGGAACATGCATCACATTTGTCAATCATCCACTTCACACTAAAACGAAAGAACTCCTACAAATATGTCTACCCTTTTTTCCACAAAATACATACTTTCATTCCGACCCCATGATGAAAAACCCAATTATGTAAATGAGCAACTATTATACCCTACACTTTCATGGACACCTCATTACTAATCCACTATCACTACCACTATATATCACCCCTAACGATAATGAAGTATGCAGCATCCAACTTTACCTGTTAACGACAGCACTAAACCCAAAACAATTCACGCAAATAGGAGACAGACAATCCTTAACTAAATTCACTTCACCTGAAGCTAATGATTACTCCATCAATTATTATGATCATAACATAATCCGACCAAATGAAGACATTTGTCTAAACAACGACCTACTTGCCAATCCCCAAATAACGAAAAAATTTTCATCAAGACCTCATACACCTTCACCCTCAACATCTGAAATAAAAAATACGACAATGTCATCTCCGCAGCACTACGTAGTATTCATGCTTATGGTTCATACTTTAACAAAACTAACCATTTTTCATTAACTTTTATTTCCTCACACCCAAAGAATGTGATTTGCATTGTTCACACGAATTCATGTTACGAACTATACAAACACACATGTACACTTATTATAAGTTACACTTTCAATATACCAGCACAACAACCTCACCACATATACCAATACATTAACTCTAAATATACATCGCCATTTTTCTTAACTTCACCTATTGTATTAAAGAGTTTAATTTACAAGGCATCCTCCGAAATTACGATCCCATCACCCAGATGTATATCTTCTGTCCCCTAATCAAACTCCTAAATTTAGACGAATCCCGCCCACTAATTGTCCATCATGAAATAAACTACTAATCGCATTTGATATCATCCACGATATTTTTCTCCATGGCTTCTTTATCGACGATTTGATAAAATTAGTTCAATTTTTTACAAATTCAAACAAAACTAACCATTTTTATTCAATGTTTTCTGCTTTTCTTCATAGGCACAATCATCAATCATCTACGAACTAAAAAGCAAAATAAATAACAAAAACTCTTTATCAAACCATTAACTTCTATTATCCTATCCGATAATTGAAGCAATAAATTTCTCCGTACAAAGCAGTAAAATATTATATGAATTCTTTTCTCCAAAGCAATAAATAATCATTCAATTGAAAATAAATTAATAGTTTCAACCCCCAAATCAAGCAGTAAAATTCAAAATTTCAAAGTAGTAAATTGATCTAAAAAAGGTTTATAGATTGCAAAAAGCAGTACAAACATTTTTCAAGACGCTTCTTTATTATCTCTCGCCCACAAATTCTATTCAAATTCGCAATGCTCGCCCACAAAAAAATTGTTAAAAATAAAGAATTTAGGTTAAAATTTTCACTGATAACAACTCTAACAGGTTTTAACACGTTTCAATTTTTTCTTGTTTTTTAACCCGGTTGGAAAGGAATTATAAGAAAATCCAAACTTACCAACGCAAGTTTACTAAACACCATAAACCGCAAACTAACAGCATGACTAAGAAAAGAAAACCCACGGTACCCAAACTGGATTAACAACAGCTTAGAACTAGATAAAGTATTCTTTGAAGACTATTTTAAGTCTGAACACAAAAGAACAAAACACCAAATAGTCGAAAGACAAAACCAAAACAAACAATTTCATTTTAGAGAAAAAGACAAAACTACAAGACAATAAACGAAAAACTAGTAAAAAATAGCACGAAAACTTGAACTAACACAGGACTCTCGAAAAAAAGAACACAAAGTTATACCCTAAATTTCTGGCCTAACCCACCAGAAGAGGACATCTTGAGCATGCTCTATAGCCGGCCTAACCCACCGTGCTACATTCACGCTTTGTGACACCCACGACACTATTTTTGACGAGAATTACTCAAATGTGAGTAGCTCTTAAAAATAACCGAACTAAATAGTAACGCTTTTGCGATAAAAGTTTATAGATCATAACTAAAAAACAAGATTTACAAGGATTTGTATATGTAAATGATATAATGCAGTATATAGATTACATACAGCCCAAAGACAAGCAATTAAAAATTTGACAATTCGATCACACTCCAACTACGGAGAGGCAAAATCCACCTGACATGTTGCCTACAGTCACTACACTCAATGGACTTAGAGTACGACTTGGCATCGCAGAAAAGGAAGTCCATTGCAACAGAACAATGGCCATCTCGATGTTCAAGTATACGTACAGATCCAAGTCACCAGGCACTGCATCCAAAGTCGAACTACCTGCCGTTCTCAGACGAGATTGAGAATAGCAACGTTCCTATAAACCAGATCAGCACTCATCACAACCAATCAGAAAACATGATACAATCTCACGAAACGATCGTGATCAACAACATAAATGTTTAAGAACAATTCGTTATCCACGATTTCAGTTTCTTTCAGTTTCTTGGAGCTACTGATACTGATCCTTCTTCCTAATTGGAAAAAAGAAAATGCTTGCAACTTTTCAAAAAAATACCATCATCCATCATTCGGTACAATAAGAAGCATTGAAAAACGAAAACTGTCTAAACCTCGGATGGGTGGAACCAGATCTAAACCAGTATTTATCATTGGTTAGTATGATGATATTTTATCTATATATAATATTAAAAACTAACCAATCAACTCCATCAAATTAACAACCTATTTATTCGTAAAGTGTTGAAACTACTTGTAGTTTCACTACCAGAGCAATTTGAATTAAATTTAGAATACAGTTGTTCTCATTTTGGAACTAATTCGCGCAAACCAGTGTACACTACATTTTTTGATACTAGGAGATATTTGAGTAAGATTAAGATTGGTATTAGACTAAGAAGTTGCACGAATCTATCCGGCCGGAAATAAGATAGCGTGACGAGCAGACGGTGTACCTTATCTGAATTTACTCTATGAGTACAGTACATAAAGACTTAACTCTGATCAGAAATATTCAAAGAAAAAGTTGGAAAGATTTTTAAGATGGATTATAACTCCGCTCATGCATGATTAGCGCGTTCAATATTGCGCGTTCAATGTCCAAAATTGGCACACTTTAAATCTACATAACTTCGGTTAAAAATCATACGGGTCTTTTTAAATTTGAGCTCAAGATAATAATTTTTTGAATGATTTTTTAAAAAAAAACCATCAAAAAGGCTGGTTAAAAAATCGATATTTGTTTGAGAAAAAAAACCATCTCGAGCGCAAGTATTCAGCAGTCTTCTTCGAAAATAGACGGGAATTTTATTTTTGTTCTAATTTACGAAAGAAAAAACCGTTTTGAGAGTTTTTGAAATAATATCTAGCCAAAAGGAAAAATCAAAACAAAATATTAATTAAACAGAGCCGCGTTATGCACACAAAAAATTATATTTTGCTAGAATTTTTTGTTAGCATGCCGTTGTATTCTGAGCTCTTCTAATGATCCAAATGTCTTAAATCAAAACTATCTGGTTAACTTTAAGAAAAAACAATTTTAATTGAATGCTGTTTGTAATATTATTACTTGAGCCGTATTAGATGCTCTTAAACTGATTTCAACCATGTATTAGAACTAAAATAAGCTAAGACACATTTACCAATGGTATAAACTTTAGATAGCCTTTTTGCTTTTTCAAACTTCTAATTTAGAGCTAACCTTCTTTTAAACATGTTCAGAGCGCTGACTCGTTCTCGATCTTTTTTATTATGTGCTTTTTCTTATTACATGTTGCGTTTTCTAGTTTTTAGTTTGCTCTTAGGCGGAAATGGTAAGAACCCTATTTTTAAATTATTCTTTTTTTCACTTTTCGAAATTAAATTATTTTACAAAAAAAATTTTAATTTAACGCTGGATAAGGCAAAAAATTGGAAAAATGTTTACTTTTTAGACAGTTTTCAGCCCTTGCCAATTTTTTGATAATCAAGGTTTTATCATCGAGTTCAACAATTTTTTTCTTTTGATTTTAACAGCAAGTTTCATTTTTTTGTAGTGTATTAGTAGTTTAGTTTTTCGTTTAATTTGAAAACATGATTTTTTTTAGTTGCATAATTTTGATTATTCATTCAGAAAATGCGCTTGACCAAATAACTCATTGTTGTCAATATTTGACCGGGTAGTTTTAGACATAATCCATTCATACAAAAAAATTATAAAAAGCCACGAGGCATGCTATAAAGATAGTCAAAATCAGTTTGCACTTAGAGATTATAGAACTTATAATTGTTAATTAAAGATATAGCTCATTTCAAATTTTGTAGTTCTAAAATTTGACCTTGGAATGAACTGTAACAAGTAAAAAATCCAATTCTTGTCTAGTCTTTTTTTAATTTACAGCTATCGCCTCCCCCAAAAATGAAGGAGAGGGGCACAAAGTGGACAGGAACAAAAAAGTGGACATGGGCCATGGCAGTCTCTATTCTTCAGGGGACACTTTACTCTACCTGTTCGAATTCGACTTCAAACTCTCGGGAGGGTTGAGTACTATACTACGACACTCTGACACTCTGAGGGTGAGTCATAGTAATCATAATCATAAACATGATAACAATAATAATCATAATAATCATAATAATCATAACCATAATCATAATCATAATCATAATCATAATCATAGTAAGAATATTAATAAAAATAGTTTTTTATTCATCCTAATAATAATCATAATGAGGGGCGGATTTAGGGGTGCGGGGCGGGAATGGGGGTGTACTTTTTCTTTCCCCCCTCAGGGATTCGACCCCATGTACTATTTTGTACTATTTTGAGATTTTTGGAGACGGACCCTTAAAATTTTTCTAAAAGCGCCTTCGGCGCCAAAAATACTAGTTTTCAGGGAAGTGCGCGCCGAAAAAACGCGATTTTTTGGTCAAAATATTTCAAAAAGTGCCTAAAACGCCTTTGTGAGTCAAAATTTTGCCTGCCCGGCGCAGAAAACTTGGCCAAAATAGGGACAAAACAGCGCTTTGGGAGAGCTCGAAAAATCAATTTGGTCGGCCTAAAAAAGGTCGACAAATTTTCGAAAATTTTTTTGAAATCCGCCCCCCTCGAGAAAACCCCTGATCATAATAATCCACCCCTATTCATAATAATCATAATAATAATCAAAATAATCATAATAATCATAATAATAATTTAATTAGCATAATAATAATTATAATGAATCGTTTCCTCATCACACGAACAGAAATACAAATGAAGAAGTTTTTTTACAAAAATGTCACCTGAGAGAGAGCACCATGAGACTAAATATACTTGTTTTCAGACGTCTCAGAGTTTTGGGTCTTTTCTGATGTCTTTTAAAAGCGAGGTGAATGACAAGGAGTTAGCTCTGATCCAGACAGTGAACTTAATAGGAAGTTATAGAAGCCAGTAAAGCAAACAAAGTAGGAGCAAGGCGCTTAGTTAGAAAAAAAATTATGACAGAATATTAAATCACAATTTTCTACAACAGTTTTTTATTACAGCTCTATTTAGTATAGCAGAAAACTAACTTTGCCTTCAAATTAGGGGAAGCAAAAGCGGCACTATTTTCAGTTTACTGCCGTTTTCGTTCTAATAAACGCCAAAATGTCTGAATTTTGTTTGTTTTGCTCGATATTAATTATGCAGACGAGTTCATTTCCAAGCAATAAAATTATAGCCTTTTTATTTTGTTTTGACGTTTCGAAGTTCGCAAGTTTGCGCGTAATTGAAAAAAAGAACTTTTTTCTGTCTTGCGGCCCAAAAACCTTTTTTTTTTCAAATTAAATTACAGCTTGAATGTGATTGGTCAAAAATAATTTTAACGAGAGGGAAGGGGAATCTGAAGCTAAATATCAATCAAAGTGTTTTAATTCACGTTTTTTTGTTATGAACCGTAAAAAAATTCGTTGAGTTTAGTAGTAAGAAAGCTTCCGGATCAATTTAGGTTTTTCAAGAAATTTAATGTCAACCAGTGAAAGCACCAAAACCAAGTTGCTCAGCTCCTTATGGAGAATCACTTACGATCTACGATTCATATTTGACTTAAGAATTACTTGCATTTTGTTTGGTTATCTTTTTGCATTGAGTAATGTTGCCTCCTACTCATATAGCAAACATAAACCACGGTAGTTTGGATTCCTACTATCTAGTGGCATTTTCTACCGAAAAAAAATTCGTATTTGTCTTTTTCAACACTTCGCTTTGTTTTTTGAAACTTAGAAGCTGAAGCAATTTAGGAACATTTGTTGGAGCGCTTACGGTATTTTATTATTATTTTTAATTTTTTGTTATTTGAAAGTTGCGGAGCTAGGGGTTTCTCAATAGGCAAAAAGATTGAAAAAAAATTTTTTTTTAGGTAGAACTATCTGAAACAACTTTGGTTTCAAAATTGAATGAAAAACAAAATGGTTGTGATGTGTTTTCAAATTCCAATATATTGCTAAAACAACCAAACAAATGTCGCCTCCGAGCAACAAAAAAGAATTTAAAAAGATAATATTTTTTCTGCAAACAAAAAATAAATTTGAGTTCATCGAAAATCTCTAAATTTAAATCATCAAATTTAGAAAAAATTAAGCCTAAATTTTTTTTTTTCAATTTTTTGAAGTCGTGCGACAATCTGCGACTTTTTTTCAAAACTGGCCGCCTGCTTGGTTTCTTAACTTTCTCACTTTTAGAGAAAAAAAATCGCTTCACACAAAAAATGTAGTTGTTACTGGTATGGCAAAAAAGTCTAACTAAAATAATGGCAAGTAGCCGCCACTTGCGCCGTTCAGGTTAACGAAAAATGAGCACGAGCAGTTTTGTGCAATTCTAGTAGGTATTGCTTTGATCTCGATCGTCTTATCTGAGAGATTAAAAAAAAACTATCATTTCAGAATATTTTGTTGTGCCCTTTGTGCTGTTTTGAACGCTGCAATTTTTCTTGATGATTTTTCGGATCGTTCAAGATGAGAATAACTAATTGTAAGTGATATTAATCACTTTCACTTCTTAACAATCGGGAGGATTATTAGTGCAACCTATGAAAATTTTAAAGCGTTTGTTGCGGCAGAAAAAAAATCTTTCTAAAATATTTCATATATGGAACATCAAAAACTTCTGTTATCATAAGAATTTTTTGAACTTATATGCATTTCAAACGCAAAATTACATCGGCCTAGATTGATCAAACATGTTCTTTTCATAAATTGAAAAAAGCTAGTCAGACAGTTTTTCTGCAATTCGATAAGTATATAATTTTCTATAAAGAGAAAACTGCAAGAAAAGTCCATAACCAGTGTTTTTCCTTCATGGGAACTGCATGGTTACTTTTGTCCTACGAACAAAAAATATGGTTTTTCAAAGTTGGTTTTTCTCAGAGTTCTAGGTTGTGTTCGAAATGACCAATTGGGACGATCGAAATGTCTCAGATTTGTCATACACAAATGGTAAAAAGAAATTGTCAAATTTTTCCAATTTCGGCAAAAACTTTCAAAAAAGATCATTTTCAGCAATTGGATTTTTGATTCATCAGGCTTTAATCAAGGTATATAGAAGATGTCATACAAATACTAGGTTTTTTGAGCGTTTTTGAACAAAGATATCCAGAAAAACGAAAGAATTTTACCTTTGGTTTTTCGAGGACTGCGGTATGCACACAAAAAAAACTTTGGATGCATAAAAAGTTATGGAAAGTGTTTGTTTCAGTGCAAAATTCCTTTTGAGGTTATAAAAGTCATCATTTTTTCCTGAGGCAATTTAAAAAAACTTTCTCGCCATCAAAAAAAACAATGCTGGTCAAATATGGAAATGGCGCGATTTAAAATTATGCGGTAAAAAATTTTTCAGTTTGTTTTATGACGACAAAACTTCTTTGAAATCGCGATGACACCATGTTAGCAATATTTATGAAATTAGTTTGATAGGTAGTTTCCACGAAATTAGTTTTAGGAATTGAATGATAAGCTTTTTTGATCTATGGACATCAACCCGGAGATGGATACCCCTTGATATTAGAATCAATAAAAATAATGAATTAAAATGAAAAATTTTCGGGAAAAAAATAAAATTCTTCTTTCTGCTTTTTTGTTTCATTTTTTAATATTTTTTGAAGAAGCTTTTTTCTTTTGACATTCAACGTTTAATTGCAATTTTCTTTCTAGGATCTGTTTAAAGAAGAGAACATTTTGAAAGAGGTCACACATGCTGTAAAACAACCTCCATGGGACAACCCGCATGTGGTTTTTCACCCAATTAATCAGGTAAAGTTTTTAATTCAAACTGAATTATTTGATCTGAAATGTCATTTTCAAGTTTTGTTTTTCAGTTTCAATTAGTTCAGAGTTTAATATCTGTTTTAGTTCATTCTTCTCTACAAGTTCAATAAAGTATGGCCGAAAGTTAGCAGGTAAGTCTGCAGATTAAAAAATTTTTACTTTGAGAAAAAAAAAACAACAGACTAGCAGTAGCAGGTTCATGACTTGTTGTCTTAATTCAATTAAACTGAGAAAACAACAAAACACAGCTTTAACATTGAAAAAAATGGTTGTTAAGTTTTAGAAAAAGAAATAGATTTTTTTTTGCTTTTTGATTTTTCGAGGTGTCTGGTTTTCAAAATAAACAAAGAAACCTCCTTCAATTCAACTACCCCAACATGTTAACTTAGACACATTTTGATCATCGGAGAAATTGCCATTGTAACTGCGATTAAAGTCATTGTACCATAGCAGTGGTAATTTGAGGGTTAATCCGTTGTGGATTTTAGTTCAGTTACTGATTTTTTCTCGAGTCAAGTATTTGGTACCAGTAATCTTTTTACTAATGAAAATTTTGCGAGTGTTTTTTGCGGTGCATTTTTACCAATGAAGTTCAACTAAAAAAGAACAACACACGGTTTTAAGTCCAACTGTTTTTTCCGTACTTTTCGTGTGATCAAAATTTTCTAGTCCCGATTCAAGTACAATTCAGAAATTTTTGATATTCCAGGAATGTTTCAACCTGAATCCGTGAAACATCAAAGCTAAAGCTTAAGAAAATTTATCGAGAACATCTACTTGTGTAACTCATTCTAGTAGCTTTCAAATTAGAGTGTGTTTTCATAAGGACTGTAAGATATAACCTTCTCTAAAGCTGAATGGCGCAGAGTTAGCTCATATGTCTACAGGGCTGAAGGTTGGCTGTTTAAGCTTGGGTAGCATTCATATTTTTTTGCACAGTTTGATAGGTTATTTGTTGCTGTTTCATCGCCTAAAAATCGGAAGTTAGCGATAAAATTTGAGATGTTTAGACCTGTTTAGACTTTCCACCAAAATACATTTTGATTGTAAACACTAATTTTTGTTTCTTCCATCAAAAAATTTTGAAAATAGGCTTTCATCGTTATGGTTTTGAAAAAAAATAAGGAAATTATTATGAACAATTTCGATTATTCAGCAACCGTGTTTCAGTCGTTTCCATGGGCAAAATCGTTTCAGGCAAGAATGAATTAGCTTTTCAGGCGTGGTGTTGGTTTCTTTCTAGAGATTCGTAAAATAACACTCATCAATCCAAAAACAAAATAAAACAACCAACAAGACTGCTCGTATCAGGGCGAAGCCTTGAATGTTCCGACTGCCTTTTAAGGTTTATGGAGCAGCAGTATTAACAGAAACAAATTGAATGAAAAAAAAATTTTTTTTTTCTAAAATTTGAAATTTTTTATGAAAATCATCCCCCCACACGCCATTTAAAGTACAAAAAGAGAAATTTCGTTCCTTGTAACAAATCAATTATGGCAAATAAGCTTCGTTCAACCAATTTGGAACGATTTATAAGACGGATTAAATCTCCGCTTACGCCTTAATAGCGCGATTTATATAGCGCGTAAATTGTCCCAAATTGGTCAAAATGGCCAAAATAGCAATCTTTAAACCCTCATAACTTTACGAAAAATGATCACAGGTAAAATATCGTTTCAAATTTAAGCTCAGGACAACAATAGCTTTCGAATGATATGAAAAAATTCTGTCAAAAATGGCTAGTTAAAAAGTCGAATGTGTCTGAAGAAAAAAAACCCACCCCGAGCACAAATATTCCGTTACTTTCGTATCGAAAGTCGGAACAATTACTAATCAGGAGATTGCAAAACCTGTACTGACAAACTTGAGAATTGAATCATTTTGAATCGATTTTTATACAGATAATTTACGGCATAGAAACATATTTACCGTAGCCCATAATGTACGTCCGGCAGCTTGGAATAAACTCATAAGGATTTTTTATGCTAGAAAAAGAATAATTTTTTGCATAAAAGTTATTTAAATCTGTTTAAACAGATTTTCAGTGAAAACCACCAAAATCTCGTCATACTTTTTTTGAATCAAATGTTCGTTTTTTGACAAAAAATAGTTCTCAAGAAAAATTTTCATCAGAGCAAGCTACAGAGAGCAAAAGTCACTCGAGGAAAGTTTCTTCCGAAAACTACTGAGTTTAAGGGTCTCCTATTTGAATTTTGCAAATCTAAAGGTTCCCGTGGTAATGAAAAATAAAACTTTGCAAAGTTTCCACGAATTTTTTTTTATTATTAACGTTCTAGGCGCTAGTTTGTTAAAATATTTTAGGCTGAAAAGATTAAACAGTACTTAAATTTTTTTCATACTGTTTGGCTTTGCAATCCCTTTGATTGAAACATAAACAAAATCTAAAATCTATAGCAAAAATTGTGTAGCCAAAAAAATCAGTAAAAGCGAGTAGATAGTTGCGATCAACTCTTTTTCAAAAAAACTGCTATACACGAATGTGTAGAGAAATTTTCCTCGTATCTCTCCAAGGATCATATTTATACACCAATACTGGTATTCGTTTTTGTTCAGCAACCGATTTCAAGTGTCGCATCGATGTTTAATACATTCAAATTCAGTAGAGGCTTAAAGCGGCTTTCTGTTCCGGTTTTCGCCAAAAAACCTTCAGAAATTTCTCCAATAAATTCATTTTTCTGCAGAAAAATAAGAATTTTATCATGTTTTCATCAGACCGGATTATCGTTTACTTTTTCAGAATCGCACACGCGTTGACCAAAAACGAAACAGACTTCTCAGTTTGGGAAAAAATGTTCCGAGCGGATTCAATAATAGAATATTCTCAACTGAAGCCAATGCTACAAGACATTAAAGCACTGACTATAAATGACAGGGATCTGAAGAATGCGGCACTTGGTCTGTTGAGATTACAAGAGGTGTATGCACTGGATGTCGAGGCAATTGCGAAGGGAGATATAAGTAAGTAATATATAGGTTATTGAATAATTATAATAGTTTACTCGTGTTTTTTCCCACTCTTTTAGGGATGTTCTCAAATACCTGGTCCTAATTGCTCTGTAAAGCCATTTGGAGCGCGCGCCAAAAAAAACGAAATTTTCTAAAAAGTGCCCACAAACGACTTTTTTGAACTGTTTTTTCAAAATCTTGGCTGCGGCGCAGAAAATTTGGCTAACACAGAGTCTTTTTAGTGCTTCAGAAGAGCTCGGAAAAACAATTTGGAGGACCTAAAAAAAACCGTCAAAATTTTCGATAATTTTTTGAAAATCCGTTCCCACCGCCCTAGAGAAAATCCTAGATCCACCCCCTGATTATAGAGAAAATTAAATTCAAAAATAAGAAAAAATGAAAAATTGAGAAAAATTCAATTGTTGTCAAAATGTCATGTTGTATTTCTTATTAGAACAATTTCCTAATTATTTTTTTAATGGTCCATAAGATAAGAAACACATACAAGAGTGAATACTTTTAACAAAGATCAAGCTGGCAAATCTTTCACTACACATGTAGTCTTGCATTACTACAAAAGATCAGCACAATCTTGACTGATCGATCTTAAAGCAGAATCAGTTAGTGCACTTTGCATCTTTTGAAATTAAAAAAGCAAACTGGTTAAAATCCTTGGCAACTATGATCAAGTCTATGCACAACTTTGTGTTAAATGATTGTTGATGACGCACATTTTTTTAAAATGTAGTTTGAGTTTTTGTTCAAGCTTTTGCCATAAAAAAGCTGCAACTCTTATACATTACAGATATCGCTCTCATCGCTGTCATATTCTCCTCAGCCTTCACCCATTCATTTTTCCTCTGCTATCCGAAGACTCAGGCTTGCTTGGGTCAAACCTCCTTTGAGGGTTTTTGCTTGAGCCGCGGTTAGTCTCGATTTCGCATGCTAATCTTTGGAAGACAACTGATTCTATTCTTCGCTACATACAAACTATGTCACATATTGTCTTCCAGCTCCAAAAGTTTTCACCCTAAGAATGTCAATCACTACCTTGAAAATCGAAAATGAACTGTTGTTTTTTTTCCAAAACAGTTATTGCTCCCACGCCTTTCTCACTGAAACTCTTGGTTTCCGTTGAAAAACTTCTCTCGAAGCTGGACCAGGAGTTGATTGTACCTCGCGTATGCGTTCATTCATAACGGAATCCCATGTCTCTTTGCCCTCGTTCCGCATTTTTCATTGATTTTGCTTTGAATCATTTCATTCCTTCGTCTCTCCCTGCGTGTTTGTTTGTTTCCAGCAACCTTCACCCCGCATTGCTATTGCATACACCAGCAGTCATTTGGAGAACTTTTTTCGTCTGTTCTTCCCGCTAACTCATAAATAATCGTATTTTAGAGGTCGACATCACCATTTTTGTCGCAGAGGCGGTCGATTCTTTCTTCTGCTTCTGTACTTCTGACTTTTGTACCTCTAATCTCCCACTTCCAATGATCTGTCAGTTCCCCAGGATTCTTCAGGTTTTTGAGCTCTACCAATTTCTGCAGCTTCTTTAGTTCTCACATTGTTTTTCAGTAACAAAAGCTTCACCTGTTCCACAAGCTTTGTTAAAACGACAAGCCCATCGTGATCCACAAGGTCCTCTATTACCACGAGATCTTTGAGTTTCCTATTCATCTCCAGCACTAGATACTCCTCGCGTTCACCAAGCTTCCACAGCAAAAAAAAATTCTGGAAATCCACAAGTATCTTCTTCAACAAAAGCTGCTCCAGTTCCATAAGCTCCTCTGGCAGCAGAAACTTCTTGAGTTGCATAAGCTTCCAAAGCAACAAAAGATCCCCGATAACCTCAAACTGGTGTCACAGGTCGCAATCCGCCGGTACCTCTTCTGGGTCAACCAGTAGCTCTTGCTTGAAAGTAACCACTGAAATGACCACGACGGTAGAATCGTGTTTTTCCTCCTTGGTTTCTGTGCTACCCTGGGCTCCTATCTCTATTCACGCTAGCTTTCTATCTCAATTTTGTTTTCAAAAAGGAATATCAGGATTAAATTACTGGGACACTGCAAATCTCAGGGCAACTGAAATCAAAGAAAAACTACAAAATAGCATTAGAAAAACAAGAACAACCTGTAATTGCGGTTCCAGTGCCACAAAAATTTTCTTTTTCATAACTGCTTCAAACCTGTTTCAAAAATTCAGGTAAAAAATTTCAAATTCAGATAAAACTTTCCGATAATTGCAAATTTCAAGAGCAGACAATTGCTGCGCGTTCAATAACTAGAACGTGTGTAGAACGACTTAAAGATTGATCAACAAAATTTTAATCACTCAAACGTTTAATAACTGGTTAATATTATAGAGGGGTGACCCCTCATCCTTTCAGTTCTGATTGCCTAATTTTTTCCGAAGAAACCCCCCCCCCCCCTTAAGTACTTTTTAAGGCAATCCATTTCTGGCGACGAGCCATACATTTTTTCTGAAGGCGCCTTTTGCCCTAATATACACTATTTTCGAGTGAAAAATGCGCTCCAAGAAGCTGGACGTTTTTTGCCGATATGCAGATTTGAGAAAGTCTATATGGTCGATCTAAGAAAATTGTCAAAAATCTTTTAAAATCTTGTTAAAATTATGCTTAAAAACAGCTTCTCAGCTTTAAAAACGCATAGGCTGTGTCTATAATGATGAAAAAATTGGAAAATTTACTGTGCTAATATAAAGTTTCAAAAATTGTTCAAAATTAAACATTTAGGGTCCTACAAGAGTATTCGTCCCCTTCGTACTGGTGAAATGAATGTGCTAATCGATGCAGCAGTGGAGTATGATGACATTTGTCGAGCTCTGCTCTGGGTGAGACACCTGTCAATCAAATCAGCCGCCAAACACAAGATGGAGTTACTGGGTGAGTTCTTCGACAAATTAATAAGACAAAAAAATGAAATTTTTCTCACTTTTCAAAATTCAAAGATCGGTACCGTTTGAACGCGTTTTTTATCAAGGAAAACCATGCCAATTAAGTTTTAACATGGCAATTTTCAGAGGCTTGACTTAAAACTTCCAGAAAAAAAATCGAATAAAAATTTTTTTGAAAAAAATTATCGTTCTTCAATTCTTTAGAAGAAACTTTAATAGTTTTTTTTTATGTCAAAGCTAAAACTAGAACAAAATTTCAACTATGATTTGATTTTATTTTCAGTTGAACTGCGTGAAGAAGATCAGGAAATGTGTGATAAGAAGTTCTGCATGCGAGGGGATAAATGTCTACACGAGAAAACACAGATAGAAATCAACTACGCACATCTATGCAGAGACCCAGACAAGTATAATAAGTTGCAAAAAAAAATCGATCGGACAAAATAATTAAAAGCAGAGCAATATGCCATTTTAAGCAGCTTTGCATACAAAATTGAAGTTATAATTAATCATGAGAAGAACTTTTTGTCTGAAAAGTTAAATTTCAAATGCATCAATTTTGCGTTAATTTGTGTGTTAGCTTTTGCTCTATTTAATGAGTTTTGACTGTTCACTTTTTTTGCAATTCATAAGTATATGATAAGTTGGAAGCAACTCATTCAAAAAGATACAAAAAAAATCAACACGCCAATTTTATTTCAATTTGGCGGACAGTTTCGACCTTAACATGTTCATTATGCCTGAAAAATTATCTTTTGAATTAAGATTTTTAGTAGTTTAATTACTCTTTCGATATACTTCTAAATATTCAAATATTTTGCTACTGTCTATTCAATGAGTTGCATAAAACTATAACAATCAGAATTTAAAAACGAGCAGTTTGTCAATTTTCGGATCAAAGTTTAACTTTTAGTCAATCTTTGGACAACTTTCTGTTTCATAAGTTTTCAAAGCTTTGCAAGGAAAAGTTCTTATGTCTTAATGGAAGTTGCAACCAGCTAAAAAATTTAAAGAACGAGCTGACAGATCAAATTTTTCACAGACTTTAAGTTTCAAAAGTTTCAAAAGTTTCACAGACTTTAATTTAACAAGAATAAATTAAAAACAAGAGTTACAGAAAAAAAACAAGACTACTCGTATCAGATGCTCGTAATTTAACAAGAATAAATTCAAAACAAGAGTTACAGGAAAAAAAAACAAGACTGCTCGTATCAGCGCGAAGCCCTGAATGTTCCGACTGTCTATTAAGGTTTATGGAGCAGTAATAACTTTTAAAAAAATTAAAAGTAATAAAACAAAATGAATTTTTTTTAAAAATCCCCCATACGCCATATAAAGTACAAAAAGACAAATTTCGCTCCTTGTAACAAATCAATTATGGCAAATAAGCTTCGTTAAACCAATTTGGAACGATTTCTAAGACGGATTAACTCTCCGCTTACGCGTTAATAGCGCGAAGTATATCGCGCGTTAATTGTCCCAAATTGGCCAAAAAATTGCAATCTTTAAACCCCCATAACTTTACAAAAAATGATCTCAATTTAAATATCTTTTCTAATTTGAGTTCAGGACAACAATACTTTTCGAATGATGAAAAAAATTCCGTCAAAAATGGCTAGTTAAAAAGTCGAAAATTGTCTAAGAAAAAATAACCCACCCCGAGCACAAAGATTCCGTTACTTTCGTAACGAAAGTCGGAACAACAAGAAAACAACCTTGTTGTAGATTTTTACGCGATATATGTTGCTTAACTTCGTCAAAAACTTTTAAAATTTTAGCCTCGTTACTTGTAAAAGTTTTTCATTCTTAAAAACTCAGTAACTGTATTCTTGGGAATGAACAGCTTTCAAAAAACTGAAGTTTCAAATTTGAAGTTGCTCGACAGCTTGAAACAGCTATGCCTTATATCAAACTTGTATATCAGCTTTTTTCTACCATAGGTCAAACATTAAACAACACCATTCAAACATTTTTGTGAAATTTGAAATATACGTTGGAAAATTTATTGGATGTCTTTTTTGTATGAACAATCAGAAACTTTTTTAGTAATAAATAATTTTATCAAGAAAAATAATTTAATTGAAAACATTTCTCGTCTGCTGAAACTAGTACTTGTTGAGAATGAATTGGTGACAACTCTTTACCCATAAATATGAAAATTATGTTGCATGTAATGTTTTAGCAGTATTAAAGAGTTTCTGATTTTGCACCTTTACAATTTAGTTTTTTAACTTGGCTACTTTCAAACATTTATCTCGGGTTGACCAAATTGCTTTACTTTTAAAAAAAAGAAAATGCCTATTATTCGATTTCATAAAAATCGATCTACACTAAAATTGTTATTTAAAACTGAACAAAAATTTTTTGAAATTTTTGAATTTCACTTCGATTCATAATATTCCAGAAAGCACAAAAACAAATATTTTCTCTTTTGCCAGAAAACTCTATAGATTTGTGGCAAGAATCGCACAAGTGACCAGCATTTGAAGATTCACCAAAAAAAATGATGTAATAATATTCACTCAAAAAAATTAGTTGAAATGGTAACATTTTGTTTTTAGCTTTAAAAAATTTCATTCTAATCAAATTTCAGTGGTTTAAAATCGTGGCCTACTTTGACGGAATGAAAAATAGTTTATCATATGAAAAACTGAAAAAAATATTCTCGATTCACTTGTGATTCAGATTTTGATTCATTTGTACAAAAGTCAGCCCAGCTTATATTAAAAACAAAAAGCACAATTTGAGCAAGTACTTTTAAGGAAAATGTTTGCTTGAGCATAGCGTTGATTTTACATTAAAAAAAACAGAAATTTGAAGTTTTTTCATCGAAAATTTTTTCTAGCATGTAAAAACAAACGCATCATAAAGTTTTCATAATTGAATAGTGTACGATTAGAGTTTTTTAAAACACTGAATATATGGAAGTGTATGATAGCAAAATGTTGTATGAATAAGTTTTACAAGCTTTTTTGGTGTATGGAGGTTAGCCCGGGACCTTCCGTAGTACGAGTGAATTAGCAACCTTTATCTCAAATTCTTATTACTCAAATGCCGAATAGCTGTGAGATTAATTCCCATCAATCAATAGGTTTTCATTTGTCATGAGACCCGTGGCTATAGTGTTTATGGCAAACCACAAATAAAGGTTTTTTGTTTTATATTTTTGCAAACAAGAAAGAAAAGTAGTAAAAAAATGAGCGAAAACTTTTAGACCAATGGTTAATTAAAACGTATTAAGCATCAATTTACGAGTTTTTACTGGCTGAAAATCAGATATGAATAAAGGAACTATCTTTCCAATAGTAGTACTGTGAGATAGTAACAAAAAATGATGAACAATTTTTTTTTGCTTTTGGTGACTTACAAAGTGAGGTTGAGGAAAAGGCTAAAACTTGATACTTACGCTGAATCTTACACGCCAGTGTTGACCAAAAATTCTTGTCATATAATTTTCATATACTTTTCAAAATGAGCATCTGGTGCTTTCTTACCACGTTTTTGACCCATTGAAGTGTACGAAACTGTATGATAAGTAATTTTCCACATATAAAATTTTTCCAATATGTAAATCACCAAAAAACATTTTTTTTTTCATCACATTTTCTAGTACTACTATCGGAGAGAGATTTCAGATCTGAATTTCAGTCAGTAAAAACTCTTCAATTGAAGCTCGATACCTTTGTAAAGTCTATGAATCAATTGAACCGTTGATTTGAAAGTTTTCGCTCCTTTTTCCCCACGTTTTTCTGGTTCAAACAATAACCAATGGAAAAAAACAAAATCAATTATAAAGACACACAGACTTAACAAAATTTCGAGATACCAAAGATTATATATCGGTTTCGATGTTTTTCTGGGCGCAAAAACGAGCGCTTTCATATTTTTTTTTAGATTTCACTCGCCAGACAGGACCTTGAAGTGTGGCTACTTGACACACCAGCCTGAGTTCATCTTGAAGCCTCTCAAGGTCGAATGGGTACTGGACGATCCACCGGTAAGACTTTGTCGTAAATCAACCAGTTTAACACATGTAAGAAGATCTTGATGACCGTTGGCGGATTTTTAGGAGCTCTTTTAAGTCGACTAAATAGATTTTTTTGAGCTCTTTTTTGGAGAACTCCAATTGAAACAATTTTTTTTCTCATAAAATGAATTTTTTGAGCACCTTATAGAAGTTTTGACCTTTTGGAAACAAGCGTTTTTTTTGGCTCGAGCGCGCGCCGAAAAAACGATTTTTATTTTCAATTTTTTATGACTATATTTTGTCACATATGCTATCTGTATTTGGTTACTTCATTGATAAAAAATTTAAACAGGTAACAAGCTTTGAGAACAATGATCGTGAATTTGTGGTTTTTTGCCCAGTTTTTTCATTTGAAGACTCCTATAGGGGAAAATTTTCATGCAGGCGTCGCATTGAAACAATCTGTTGTCTTTATCTCGTGCAGATTTGGAACTCTTACACAAAATCTAAAGCGTCGAGTGTGCGTTATAAGATGGAACTCCTATCAAAATTATAAAAAAAAACATCTTTGAAAAATTATAATCTCTTATTAAAAACGTTTAAAATATTTAACATTGAAGATACATGTTTACTATTGGAGAGAACTCGATTACTTAACCCCGTCTCCCTTGGTGTTTGTGATCTACAACATATGAGTGCCAATCATTTACTTTTAAATGTTTAACTTCAAGGTAAAGACAACAAATTTGGATACAACAAAGATTATATTAGTGTCGATGATTTTTTGGCAAAAAATGAGCGCTTTCATGTCATTCTTTTTTCAAATTCCAATTGCCAAAGAGTGGAAGAGGTTGCACAATGTTTTAAAAGCTATATTGGTTGCTAAATTAGAGTTAAAAATAAAATATAAACGTCTAAGGTAAAGTTTGTCGACGAATATGCATAGTTTTTGTTTGTTTTTCAAATTCGATTATAACTTTTCACTCTCTCATTATCAGTTTTTGTGGTCTACGACATAATGATTGTCAAATGAGGGTCAAATGTAATTTAATCAAGCTACAGTTTGTCGAAAAAGATTCGTAGTTTTTTTGAATTTTTTTTTCAAATTTGATTATAACTTTTCACTCTCTCATTATCAGGTGTTTGTCATCTACGACATAGTGAGTGAAGTGGAGATAAAGGAGATGTGGGATGCCTCCCCCACTCTGAGCAGGGGGATATTAGTCACGGATGATGAGACGAAGAAGTTCAGTGAGACCAGGACTGGCACCACTGCGTGGCTGGGGGATCAAGAGGCACCCATCGCCGCAAAGTTAGTAGTGTTACAGAAGGTTAGGAGAAGGGGGGGGGGGGGGGGGGTAAAGCAGAAGGATTTATTGTGGTAAGGGGCAATGGTGTGTGTGTGTGTGTGTGTGTGTGTGTGTGTGTGTGTGTGTGTGTGTGTGTGTGTGGTGGGGGGGGAGTACCAGAATTTGGTATTAAAAATCATTTTTCAATTAATAAATTGAACGTAAATTTGATTGTATCATGGAATTTTCACGTAATCATTTTGTGAGTTTTAATTTTTATGGTAAAATTTTTTGCGCGCATGTCAAAGCTATAAATTTTTGTAAATGTTAGTAACAAAAAAAGCTTTAAGCTTTTTTTGTTTCAAAATTTTTTCTTTTGTTTATAGTATTTCTATAAACCAAAAATGCATTCCTTAATTTAAAAAAGCAGTAAGCAAGTTTATTTTTGTGCTAATAGTAAGTTCGAACATTTTTGATGAAGCTCCAACAATTTTAGTCGACCTTGTAGGGTTTTTCGAATAGTGACTTGCAGTTCGGGGGGGGGGGAGTGGGGGGGGGGGTGGGGTGGTGTAGGAAAAAGATTAAACTTCTTTATCAATTACTAAAAACTTCATCGTAGTTTTAGTTTTTTCAATCAGTTTTTTTATTTTCTTTTATTTTTCATTTTCAGTCTCCCTGAATGATAGTTTCTCCGACTTATTAAGATTTTCTAAATAGGCAGAGATTTCGATAGAGTAAAGTTATAATCGTAAATACAATTTTTCTATTGTTTTTTTTTCAGAATCTCCCACAGGGTGGGGAGGGCCATCAACAAGAGTATGGACACAGCTGACAAGTGGCAGATGGGCAACTATGGCATAGGGGGACAGTACTACTTCCACTCTGACTACTTCGAGCCACATTTTTTGACACAGCAGTGGTTTTACCCTCTAGGATGGGAAAACAGGTAAATTATGAGGGAAAAAAAAACGCTTCCCCCTCATCAGCGATTCGACCCTTTACTAACCAAATTGTCATTACTATTCTAATCACTTTAACAGGTTTTGACAAAAATTAATGATGCGTTCTCTTTTCTAGAATGGAAAAAGAAGAAGTTACCGATTTTCCTTCGGGTTGAAAGTTTTGTGAAACAAAAAATACCCACCGTTTGGTGTGCTAACAGAGATCGATAAAGCAAAGCAGTCCAGAAGTGCTATTTTTCTTCTGTTTAGTTTTATCGATCTCTGTTTTGCCACCGAATGGTGGGTAAATTTTGTGTATCAACTTTCTGTTTTTCCATCCTGGTAAAGAGAACGCATCAATAACTGCTATAAAAAATTGTTAAAGTACATTTGCGTCCCTACTTAAACTATTTGACAATTTGGATCAAATTAAAAAAAAAAAACTCAATTAAATCTTTACATTACTAGGACAAACTGTGCAATGAATAGCTCACAATTTGGTGTCTGAGGGTCACTGGAATCCACAAAAAAGTCTTTAATATAATTCAAAACTTAAAAGTAACGTAAATTTTGTTTGCACATTAGTTTTGTGGTTTCCGAATCCGCGAATATAACTAGTTGTTCCAGATTTATCTAATGTCAGCGGATTCCGCAAAACAAGAGCGGATTCCGCGAAAACAAAACGGATTCAGCAATTATTAGTGGATTCCCTAATTTTCTTCCTCCCATTGATAGAGTTTCCTGCTTGAAAAAAAAAACGAGAGCAAGAAAAAATGTCTACCAAACACGGAAATTAAAAGCAACCAATGAAAGCGTTATAGGTTTTGCATTGATGGAACAAAAATCAGTTCCAAAGTTAGGTTAAAAAAACTGATTTTCGTCATTTTTGCAGTTAAAAAACTGTCAGTAAAACCAATCTCAAACATCGCCCTTAGACAGAAAAAAATACAAAAGCCAATAATAGTAATTTTTGCATTTAAAAATCAGTATAATCAGTTTAACATCAATAAAAACGGTTTATTTAATGTATATTTTAGTTTCGCATTGTGCGTCAATTTACAGAATGACTAAAAAAAACAAATCCTTGAAGCCAAATTTTTTTTAAAAAAAATATTATAAAAACGATCTGACTGAAATTTATTCTCAAAATTTAAACCTACTCAAAATAGCGTATCCCGATCGCGATAGTCGTAATAGTATTCGCGGCATGGTTAAAAAAGTTCTCGAGACCTGGTCAAAATTTTTTCCCGTTTGAACACAATTGATTTGTTTTCTCGGGCACACAGTCGAATTATGTTCATCGGTCAAATTGTGTTCGTTTTAATGTTTTCAAAAAAAATTTTTTTTTTTCAAAAATGGATCATCCCTACACTAACCCCCCAAATCTGGATGAATTTTTCAGGAAAAAATTTTGCATATAGTTAAGATTTATACAAAATGAACAGTTATCAAAGAGAAAATTGATGAGAAAAACAAAAATAATTTAGGTCATCAACAGTATTCCAATGCAATTCCACATCAGTGCTGTGAAAATCAATTTTGTTCGAACGTTTTTATTCAAAATGCATTTTGTATACATATCCAAATTGCAATTATTTTTTCATGTTTGGGGTACCCATTATACGGTAGGTCACTACGGACGGGGGGAGATTGTACGGTTGATCCTAAAAAACTCGTTGACGAAATTTTTTTTTTCCCGATTGCTGTTAATTTTCCTTCGTTCAGGGCCGGTCGCGGTCACATTGCCTTGTTCTGCAATGTTTGGAAATACCCAATTTTGGTCGCGACCGGCTGATCAAAAAGCTAGTAACTCGACTCGGGAAAATAAAGCAATTCTTCATGCAAGACCACCTATCACTTTCCATACCCCATAAATTATTTTTCCCAATTCGAAGTTCGACTTTTCTTTTGGCAGACTGGTGACTTTCATGGTCTACTGGAATGATGTAGCTGAGGGTGGATACACTGCATTTCCTATTCTTGGATTATCCATCAAACCAGGTACGAAGATGCAGATCGCTTGGTGATCTCGAAATACTTTAAAAAATCAAACTCGAAATATACGAATCATTTAAATTCGAAATATTCGAATCACTTGAACTCGAAACATACCAAACATTGGATGTTGTTTCTGCCTCGTTTCGGTTCTGAGGTAGATCGGTTTCGGGTAGCTGTGGAACCTGATCTAAACTACATTTTATGATTGGATAAATTAGATATTTTACCAATGTAAAGTATTTAATATTAACCAATCATGATCCATCTAACTAACAACCCACTCATTTGTAAGTGCTGAAATTACTTGTAATTTCAGCACCAGAGAGATTTGAATTTAACTTAGAAATTAGTTGGACTCTCCCGAGCACTTCAGCAGCCGCAATAAACCAGTATACCCTAGATCTATTGAGCCTAGCAGAGACTAGTTAAACAACCTGAGACTAGATAGTATAAGAGTAAGATTAGGATCGGTATTAGACTAAGAAGTTGCACGAATCTATCCGGCCGAAAATAAGATAGCGTGACGAGCAGACGGTGTACCCTATCCGAAATTACTCTATGAGTTATACCCATCGGTCATAACTCATCTGGTGCGACCATAAGTCTCGAACAAGACCTTAATAGCTTAGAATTAACCAAAATAGATTAGAAATTAGACAAAAACATTTACAAAATGTTATACGACAATAATTTAATCGAAATGTCTCTACGACTCAATAGATCAGAGCCAATATTCCGAACCATAACAGAACTACCCGGAATTGGAAGAAGACCTCGAACCAGAGACGACATACGACAAAGTAGAAACTTGCCATATAGTTATATGATAGTTCGGCAAAAACCAGAACAAACTTTTATATTTAGAAAACTACTGGCAATGAATTTAGATTTCCATTTGCAAACATAAAACCTTGAAGTTAATCTTCAAAATCATTTCAGGCGCTAAACAAAATTATTAATATACAATAACGATTGATAAAAAGATCTCAGATCGTTTTCCTAAACTCTGCAGTAATATACAAAACATGTTTGAAAAATATTTATTGGAAAATAAAAATAAAAATTAGTAGCATGACAAAAAATGGTTAGTAATCATAAATCATTCTGTTGTTCCAGCTTCATCACCTAAAACATAACAGCATTCATAAGCTCACTAATATCATCAAAACACTAAATCTTTTCTTTACATAAATTTAAATCTTTATTAAAACTTAAATTCACTTAATTTTAAAATCAGATCATCAAGGCTTATCCTTGGATCTTAAATCATTATCTAGTTAATTAAATTTCGAACTTGATCATCAAGGCCTATCCTTGGATCAAAAAGAACAATTTTGTTCTCCCCCACCCACTTAACTAGTGTCTAACGACCTCAAACGTCGATTCACTATCCAACCCTTTCTAAAGACCCAAGACTAATAGAAATTTTTAAACAAAACTAATCATTCAAATTAGGATAAACAGTGAAGAACTTCGGTTATTCATCCTTCACTTGACTCCCCCCTCTTACCAGACCCAGGATAAATCTTAGACTTAGTAAGTTTAAAATAGTATCTAACGAACTACTCGCGTTCTAATTATACCTGAACCTTGTGGATCGATTTACTATTCTCCAACCCTTGAACACAATCACTACCCCTAAGTAAGATTAAGTAAGTTAACACCTTAGCTTATACTAGTCACGAGAAAGTAAAAATCATTCTCCGGAATAGATATACTTTTCTCTCCAACCCTGAACAAATAGACCCAGGTTAAGCTAACCAAAAAATCGTAAGGACTAACAGTTTAAGCAATTAGAATTCACTTAACAACCTTTTGCATCCGTCATCCTAAACCTTATGTCATTTAAAAACCTAGGAAATAAACAAACAATCGTTTTACACAATTGTGAAATAGATAACAAAAAATACGACCTTGTAATCACACCTCATACACAAGCAGTTGGATACATTCGAACAAAACGACAAACACTAAAGAGAAAAATAATAACTAAACAAAGACAAATAACACGAAAAAGATTTTCAAAAAACCGAAACGCATTTTCAGAATCAGAAACCAACAGTTTAGACGAACTTTACAAACTAAAAGAATCAATAGATAAAAATTGCCCAATTCACGATCAATTATATTTCTCTGACTCAGAAACAACTTTAAATTCATCAAAAAGAGGAAAAAGAAGAATAAAAAAGCTGTATAAACACAAACCAGTACATTTATACAATTGGAATCAACCAATTCGACACATTAATAATTACATATTAACAGTCATCGAACGAAAAAATGAGCTCAACGCACACCCCAGGTGACGAAAGTCCAGATGATGATGAAATCTTCCCTTTTATAGTAGATGCAACCACTGATAGAGGACAACATATATTTTGCAAAAATTTACTCTTAAATTTATTTGAACCCGGAATCAGTCCATGTAAAACAGAGTTCCCAGATGTAAAAATCAAAAGACAAATCATAGATCACTATCTAAAAGATATATGTAACTTAACACAACAGTATGGAATCTACTCCATAGAATTCACCTCACCAAACCATAATCATAGTAAATATATAATTCAAACAGACGATCTTGATTTAGAATTTTCAAAAGTATTTTCAGAATATATAAAAAGCATCCAATATCATAACTCACAAAGAGCAAACTCCATATTCACCAATGAAGTTTTCGCAATAATATATAGTTATATCTCGATATTAGAAAACGAAATCCCAATACCAAATGTCTCACCGACAGAAACATCTAAACATATAAGAGTACGACATGAAATCACACTACTCTCTAGTTATTTAAACATCATTAAAGAAAATTTCACGAAAGACGAAGTTTCACAACATACAAAACACGATCTACAAAAAATTTTGGCATGGTTCATAATAGATTATTTCACACACAATATTGATTTAATTGCACAAGCAAGAAAAAATTTTAGACCCCAAAACTCGAACGATGATACCGCTATCACAGAACAATCAGACTATGTTTGGGACCCCGAATGGTCTCATCACGCATTTATAAGCTTCCCACAATCAATCTCAAGTCAAGCAATAAGTACGATATCTTACATAAGAGATTATGTAAGAGTAATACCATTAACCATTGATGCAACACCATTAAACTATAATACATTTTTGCCCGATACACAAAATAATAGTTTAAACTCTACAGTCATACACAATGAAAACCTCAATGGAACTAGGAATCTTACTCAACAAGATATCCAGACACCATCACACTTCATAAATGAAGAAATTGTACACACAACAACTACACAACAAAGTATTTCACCAATACGTCCAAACTTAACAACACCAAGAAATACAAATCCTTCACAAACACAGGTAACCTTACAATCAACCGTTAAACCTTCGGTTGCCCCAAAATATTCACATATGGATTACCAAACATACAGACCCATGACAATACCACCAAAAACACGCAAAACATTCACTAGAAACAACTTTGCAGACCATAATTATAATTATACACATCCATCAAAAACAAATTATCAACCACGAAGAAATTTTAACCAATATACAAGATCTCGAAACTGGGATAACCCAATGGCCCAACCTAATTCAGTAAATTTCCAAACAAATCCTCCACAGGATCGCAGTGAAAATTACCCATTTTTTCAACAAAATAAAAACAAAAAACAGACATCTTATCAAATGGATTATTTATCCTCAGATGATGATTTCTTACAACCAGACATATTTGCACCATATACTCAAGAATATCGTGGACAAGGAGTACAGAAACCACATACAAATCATAGAATTTTTTCTCCACAACCGATAGATACACAACATCAACAACCAATTCAGCAACAAAATCCAATTAATACACAATCTTTTCAACCAATTCAACAACAAAATCCAATGATTGCACACTCGTATCAACCAACACAAATGCAAAATGAAATACCACTCCCATATTATCTTCAACAACATGAAATAGCAAGAAACCAACTTTCAAAATTTTCTCAAATGCCAAATGCAGCAGAATCATTACAAATGACAATGAATCCATACCTTATGGGTGGATCATCAATAACATCAAACAAACCTTTAATGGTTTTCACAGGAACAGACCCTGAATACTCTGTAGAAGATTATTTAAATGCAGTAACAGCAAACTTGATTTTAAACATTGGACCTGAACCAATTAATACGCCACTACATCAAAACTGGATACATCGACGCACAGCGTTGATACAAACAACCTTAGATGGCGCAGCCCAAAAATGGTTTTCAGTATTACCTCCAGAAATAAAATCAAATTGGAAAAGGTTTACACAGGAATTTTCAAAAATGTTTGACTCCGAAAGAAACAAACAACAACAAAGAGTTTTATGTAATGAAATTCGCAGATTACCAAACGAAACCATCAAGCAATTAGCAGTACGAATCGAAACACTAGTTCAAAAAGCATATTCACTAAATACACACGACTATAAAAACACAAAGATGACAGAAATCTTAATGATGACCTTAACACCACAATTAAGGAAAATAGCAATAAAAAAGAGAGCATCCCATCCTTCTTCAATTCGAGAACCCGATTTAGATTTTCGAAAACTAGTAGACAAAATAGAACAAGCAGAAATCACGATGAAACTAGAAGAAACGGAAAATCTGAAATTACAATACGTTAACAGAATTGAAACGACTCCCACTAATATTAATAATATACAGGAATCAGAAACAGACCTCGTTGAAAAAATCACTGAAATACTCAATATTTACGAAAAGAACCCAAACTTTAAAGGCGAACCATCTTTCAAAAAATGGTGTAATTATTGCCGACGATACGGACATAGTATTTCTGAATGTAGACAAAAACAGCAAGATAGTCAAAATAAACCTCAAAAATACAAAGAACCAAATAAGTCATTCTATCAATATATGAAGAAAGATCAAAATCTACCGAACAAAAATGTATACAGCAACAATAGTTCCGGAAAACCACTTCCGAACAATACAAGTTATACAAGAAATCAATCCCCATATAACTCAA